TTACAAATTTGGCAAACACTACGGTGACGTCAGCATTTACGGTCTACGTTACAGACTTGAACCACAAAAGTAGGGACCGACCGATGTATTGGATCACCGAATGACTCCTGAAGTCTGCAGTGGTATCGGCTACATAAACAAAATTCTGTCCATACGCTATACACCACATTTTTGGCCTTGAACTGACGCCCTTTACTGTTTTGCCTTTAGTATTAAGTCAGCATTAATGACGTCTTGAAAAGGACACAGGTAAACAGAACTGACTACAAGAGGGTTTTGAAGTGGTGTTATGAGTTCTGGGTGTGTTCGTCTGCTTTGTAACTTCAAATGTAGTTCTTTCTCTCTGCTGTGGTCACATGATGTTGGTCTTGTGATTGAACAATGATTAATTTGCTCCGGTCGAAGCCAGAGGTCAGCGGGTCAATGAGGTCAGGCTCCTGTCGGGTCTATTCATCAAGAGCTTGTTTCTATCTACATCTAAATAGAACTAAAGTCAAGGCTTTAGACCTCATAAAAAGAATTGCCGGGGTCCAAACCAGGCCCTTCGAACCCTACCAAAAGGTTTAGAATCAAGTAGTTTCATCTTGGTTCAAGTATATTTGGAAAGAATAACAAGGTTTGACAACGGGAAGAGCAGTCGCACATCTCACTCCTTTCAACTGAGAATTTGCTCGTCTCCTAGAAATTGTGTTTGTTCATTAAAGCAAGATGATAACCAAATAATTCCAACCAACGATGACAGATTTTGTGGTCCAAGTCCTGCTTTATTTGGTTGGTCGTTGCCCAGTCCAAGATTTGTGCTGGTTTTGGTTCTCCACAAAACTATTGAAAACTATCCATAAATGAATCGTAATGTTGTGTCTGATGTATTTGAGGTTAAATGTTCAAAGTGGTGATGTGAGCTCATAGGCATGCAAAATTAAAAACGTCACTTTGGAAGAATAATCAGACTGTCCTTGGCCTATGCAGTAAAATATGCTCAAAATCACTACAGAGAAAAAGCTGCGGTTGCATTTCTTGTGTGATTGTTTTTCTCTGTAATGAGTCAGTAATGAGTCAGTAATGAGTCAGTAATGACAAACGTCTGTGATAAAATTGGTCTCTTTTTTTCCGTTTTATGTTTGCTCCAGTGTTGAAAACTCGATTTAGGAGACGTCCAGGTCGAGGCGTTTGTTGTGGGCTCTTGCTTCACATTAGCATTGAGTGACTTCAAAAAGCAGGATGAATATTAGGTCTTGCTTGCGGTATATATTTTCTCATATTAGTGTTGCCAATGTAGCTAATACAATACAAAAAGTGAGGAAAAATAAGTTAATTAATCATCTTAATTCTAGCGTTTGTGACTGCCTTAAAACAGGATTTGCCAATGTGACAAAGCAAAATGATCTTGTTTTAAAAAGATACAAGAAATATCTCCCTTGTAATGAGAAAATAAAGCAACAGTTCTTGAAAAAAGACAAAATGGCTTTGATCAGATGTAAACATACTGCTGCTAATGTACTGCTGCTAACATGCACAGATGCTAACATGTACAGATGCTAACATACTGCTGCTAACATGCACAGATGCTAACATACTGCTGCTAACATGCACAGATGCTAACATGTACAGATGCTAACATACTGCTGCTAACATACTGCTGCTAACATGCACAGATGCTAACATACTGCTGCTAACATGCACAGATGCTAACATACTGCTGCTAACATGCACAGATGCTAACATGTACAGATGCTAACATACTGCTGCTAACATGCACAGATGCTAACATGTACAGATGCTAACATACTGCTGCTAACATGCATGCAGATGCTAACATACTGCTGCTAACATGACAGATGCTAACATCGCTGCTAACATGCACGATGCTAATACTGCTGCTAACATGTGCAGATGCTAACATACTGCTGCTAACATGTGCAGATGCTAACATACTGCTGCTAACATGTGCAGATGCTAACATACTGCTGCTAACAGTGCTAACAGATGCTAACATGTACAGATGCTAACATACTGCTGCTAACATGTGCAGATGCTAACATACTGCTGCTAACATGTGCAGATGCTAACATACTGCTGCTAACATGTGCAGATGCTAACATACTGCTGCTAACATGTGCAGATGCTAACATACTGCTGCTAACATGTACAGATGCTAACATACTGCTGCTAACATGTGCAGATGCTAACATACTGCTGCTAACATGTACAGATGCTAACATACTGCTGCTAACATGTACAGATGCTAACATACTGCTGCTAAATGTACAGATGCTAACATACTGCTGCTAACATGTACAGTGTAAACATACTGCTGCTAACATGCACAGATGCTAACATGTACAGATGCTAACATACTGCTGCTAACATGTACAGATGCTAACATGTACAGATGCTAACATGCACAGATGCTAACATACTGCTGCTAACATGTACAGATGCTAACATACTGCTGCTAACATGCACAGATGCTAACATACTGCTGCTAACATGCACAGATGCTAACATGTACAGATGCTAACATGCACAGATGCTAACATACTGCTGCTAACATGCACAGATGCTAACATACTGCTGCTAACATGCACAGATGCTAACATACTGCTGCTAAGATGCTACAGATGCTAACATAACATACTGCTGCTAACATGTACAGATGCTAACATACTGCTGCTAACATGCACATACGCTGCTAACTACATAACTGCTGCTAACATGTACAGATGCTAACATACTGCTGCTAACATGCACAGATGCTAACATACTGCTGCTAACATGTACAGATGCTAACATACTGCTGCTAACATGCACAGATGCTAACATACTGCTGCTAACATGCACAGATGCTAACATACTGCTGCTAACATGCACAGATGCTAACATGTACAGATGCTAACATACTGCTGCTAACATGCACAGATGCTAACATACTGCTGCTAACATGTACAGATGCTAACATACTGCTGCTAACATGCACAGATGCTAACATACTGCTGCTAACATGTACAGATGCTAACATACTGCTGCTAACATGCACAGATGCTAACATACTGCTGCTAACATGCACAGATGCTAACATGCACAGATGCTAACATACTGCTGCTAACATGCACAGATGCTAACATACTGCTGCTAACATGCACAGATGCTAACATGTACAGATGCTAACATACTGCTGCTAACATGCACAGATGCTAACATGTACAGATGCTAACATACTGCTGCTAACATGCACAGATGCTAACATACTGCTGCTAACATGCACAGATGCTAACATACTGCTGCTAACATGCACAGATGCTAACATGTACAGATGCTAACATGCACAGATGCTAACATACTGCTGCTAACATGCACAGATGCTAACATACTGCTGCTAACATGTACAGATGCTAACATACTGCTGCTAACATGTACAGATGCTAACATACTGCTGCTAAAATGTACAGATGCTAACATACTGCTGCTAACATGTACAGGTGTAAACATACTGCTGCTAACATGCACAGATGCTAACATGTACAGATGCTAACATACTGCTGCTAACATGTACAGATGCTAACATGTACAGATGCTAACATGCACAGATGCTAACATACTGCTGCTAACATGTACAGATGCTAACATACTGCTGCTAACATGCACAGATGCTAACATACTGCTGCTAACATGCACAGATGCTAACATGTACAGATGCTAACATGCACAGATGCTAACATACTGCTGCTAACATGCACAGATGCTAACATACTGCTGCTAACATGCACAGATGCTAACATACTGCTGCTAACATGTACAGATGCTAACATACTGCTGCTAACATGTACAGATGCTAACATACTGCTGCTAACATGCACAGATGCTAACATACTGCTGCTAACATGTACAGATGCTAACATACTGCTGCTAACATGCACAGATGCTAACATACTGCTGCTAACATGTACAGATGCTAACATACTGCTGCTAACATGCACAGATGCTAACATACTGCTGCTAACATGCACAGATGCTAACATACTGCTGCTAACATGCACAGATGCTAACATGTACAGATGCTAACATACTGCTGCTAACATGCACAGATGCTAACATACTGCTGCTAACATGTACAGATGATAACATACTGCTGCTAACATGCACAGATGCTAACATACTGCTGCTAACATGTACAGATGCTAACATACTGCTGCTAACATGCACAGATGCTAACATACTGCTGCTAACATGTACAGATGCTAACATACTGCTGCTAACATGCACAGATGCTAACATGCACAGATGCTAACATACTGCTGCTAACATGTACAGATGCTAACATACTGCTGCTAACATGCACAGATGCTAACATGCACAGATGCTAACATACTGCTGCTAACATGCACAGATGCTAACATGTACAGATGCTAACATACTGCTGCTAACATGTACAGATGCTAACATACTGCTGCTAACATGTACAGATGCTAACATACTGCTGCTAACATGCACAGATGCTAACATGCACAGATGCTAACATACTGCTGCTAACATGCACAGATGCTAACATACTGCTGCTAACATGTACAGATGCTAACATGTACATGACACATGTATACATACACATTGCTTGCACTAGAATACACAGTACTTTATAATTGCCTCTGTTATTGCCAAATTTAAAACTTTTACACTTCTTTTTATTATCATTATTTTCATTGAGAGATTTTATTCTTGTTATTGATGCTAGAGGTAGAGATTTTGTTTTATTTTGATTAATATAGCTATTGTTCACTTATCTTGTGCTGTGTGCTCCTACTGGTACCTATAACTTGTGATGCAACACTGAAATTTCCCCACTGTGGGACAAATAAGGGATCTTTTAATCTTATTTTTTAAAACAGTAACACCATGCTCAATTTAAGATTAAAAAAAACACTTGATTCAAACATTTATTACCTCATATTTTATATATTTTTTGCAGTGTAAGTGTTGACCGGTCCTCTTTGTTTCTCTTCTAGGCTTTGGACCAGGACAGAACCTCCCTCCAGAAGGTGAAGAAGTCCGTCAAGGCCATCTACAATTCAGGACAAGGTAACAACCCACTTCTTATTGTAACACATCACAAAACATGTCAGCAAATGTTCAGCCGAGTCATTCAAAGGACACTCTTGGATCTCTCAAACCTTTCTAATAAAACAGGGCATATTTTCCCCCTGCTTGGAACATGGCCTTCTGCAGCACAGACGGTTTTTGTGTGTGTGTGTGTCTGTGTGTGTGTGTGTGTTTGTTCAGGCTCAGAATCCAACACCTGACTTTGTTTTAGCTCATTCTTACGACGTGGAAATATACAGTTGTTTGTCACAGTCTGTCTGTGTGTGTGTGTGTGTGTGTGTCTGTGTGTGTCTGTGTGTGTGTGTGTGTCTGTGTGTATGTGTGTGTGTCTCTGTGTGTCTGTGTGTGTGTATCTCTGTGTGTGTGTGTGTCTGTCTGTGTGTGTCTGTGTGTGTGTCTCTGTGTGTGTGTCAGTGTGTGTTTCTGGTCTCTCTCTGGTCTCTTTCTGGTCTCTCTCTGGTCTCTCTCTGGTCTCTCTCTGGTCTCTTTCTGGTCTCTCTCTGGTCTCTCTCTGGTCTCTCTCTGGTCTCTCTCTGGTCTCTCTCTCGGTCTCTCTCTCTGGTCTCTCTCTGGTCTCTCTCTGGTCTCTCTCTCTGGTCTCTCTCTCTCTGGTCTCTCTCTCTGGTCTCTCTGGTCTCTGGTCTCTCTCTGGTCTCTCTCTGGTCTCTCTCTGGTCTCTCTCTGGTCTCTCTCTGGTCTCTTCTGGTCTCTCTCTGGTCTCTCTCTGGTCTCTCTCTGGTCTCTCTCTGGTCTCTCTCTGGTCTCTCTCTGGTCTCTTTCTGGTCTCTCTCTGGTCTCTCTCTGGTCTCTCTCTGGTCTCTCTCTGGTCTCTCTCTGGTCTCTCTCTGGTCTCTTTCTGGTCTCTTTCTGGTCTCTCTCTGGTCTCTGTCATTTAGACCACATGCAGCGACTGGGATTTCACTGCTTCTTTTGAAACGGTCACATCGTCGGTTAAAGACGGTGTTCCCTGGTTTAATTCAATACCATTCAGTACATTTTTGTATATAGCCCTAAATCACAACAGCAGTCGACTTGTAGGACTTTTCAAAGTTGTCGATTTACTCAAAAACAGATCCAAGAATCGAGCAGTGCATTATTATTAAACACATAGAAGCCATTGGTCCATAGGGGGAAGATGGCGAATGTTTATAAATGTTAGTGTTAATGTTAATGGTGTGTAGTTTTGTAAGCCCTATACTGACACACTTCAAGCTAAAAATGAGTTGGAGGAAGAAAACATTACATCTACAGAAAGAGGAATTTCTGTAATCAAAAAAAAAAAGAAATCGTACCTAACACTTGTGCTTAGGTAAGGGCCTGTGTCCGTCTGACCCTCTTGTGACCTGTCTGGACTTTTGCTGACATTACAAACTCCGCGCCAATTTTTTGGTTTAATTTGTTAGCTATAAAACACATATTAAAGACCTTATGACGGGTTTGATTCATTTAGAAATACAGTTTTAATACCATTTTATATTAGAAGAGAACTACAAAGGTTTCAAAATCAGTTGTTTTTTTTGTCTGATCCCCCCAAATCGAAATAACCCCATAGCAACGCCCTTAGAAACGAAAAATATTCACAGCCCTTGGTGACGTCAGAGTGGGTACGTTTCAACGCTGTAAGTTGTTTACAATTTGGTATTCGTTCTTTTTTCGCGGATATTCAACATGACAAAGCCGTGTACAGCAATAGTCCAGTGGTTCTGTCGATGGACTGCCAATCCAGATACTGGGGTTCAAATCCCACCTCAGACACATTTTCACTCTCAAAACGGCAATTTATGTGTAGTGAGTAATTGTCACCTGTAGAGGACAGTATTGTGTTGGGCATCAGTGGAGAGAAGAGAGAAAAGGCAGTCCTGTGGCATAGATCCATGGTTTTCAATGCATGGGCGTAACCCGCTATGACGTCACACACAGGTTAGAGCATAGACTTAAATTCATGAAAAACACGTTCTTTTTATAAAATATAGGATTTTTTTTTCCGGAATCTCTTTCAGATTGACATTGTCATGCAATTTTGATATCCACAATTTTTTTTTTTTAAACCCGGCATAAGGTCTTTAAAGTCACACAGGCAATATTTACATCCATGTAGAAAATAATATGCAAATCTATTATAGCTATAGGAACTATTTTTGCTGAGAAACGAGAGGATGGGATTCTTAATGATTGTAATTACGGTCCTATAATGATTCAGCCTGATATATGTCCTATATTTTTTTCTTTGACTGCTCTTATTAAAAGGAGTTTTTTATGCCTAATAAGCATCATTTCTGCATAGTAATCAAACTGGCCCCAATTCATATGTGACCTACACGGACTATGACCAACTATCACCGCAACTCAAATGCCTCAAAACAGTTTCAAAAGTAGGGATCTCCTGAGCAAACTGCAAACATGAGCTGGCTGCTAATTAAAACCCAAAATGTGATGAGTCATTTTGTTTTTTCACTAAAGTTCATCCACACGTTCTGGGTTCCAAATGCGCACAAACTCCTCAGGGAAGACGAAAGTGGTGAAAAGAGTTAGTATATATGATTTATTTTTTAGCTTTAGCTGCCTGCCTTACTATAGCATTCACAGACCACATGCATTGTCTATGCAAGAGTCAGACAACAAACAGACAACTGTGAAGTGAAAGCAAAATTATGAATGATTTTGACAGTGTTTTAAATCAAAAACTGAATAGTGGGGCTTAGACATACAGTATTCTCTGCCTTTGTGAATGTTCTAATGACTGCTGAGTGCTCACACCTTTCCCTAACGATTAATTAGCGCCCACTAGAGTGTAAACTACTCTCAGTGTAAGTACAGCTGCTCTGTGAGGTGCTCAAAGCAGGGGTTGCAGTTTGGTACTGGTCAGTAAACAGCATCATGAAGGCCAAGCAACTCCACCGCAGAGGTCATTGATGAAGTTATGGAGAAGTTTAAAGCAGCAAGTTATGCAAAGATTGCCCAAAGATTCCTTCACAGAGCCCTGTTCAATCCACTATTTGGAATGGAAAGAACATGGCACCACTTCAAACTTACCAATACACGGCAGCCCACCTGCACTAACAAACTGAACAAGGAGAGCACTGATCAGAATGGCAACCAGGGATATAAATCGACTTTGTCATTGGTTTTAGCCGTATGTCTTTCGATAACTTTTTTGGATTGTTTTCGCAGATCACGTCCAAAATGAGGAAAATTATGCTCAAGCGTTGGACAAATTTGGCAGCAACTTTATCAGCCGCGACAACTCGGATCTGGGCACCGCCTTTGTGAAGTTCTCCTCTCTCACCAAGGAACTGTCCGCCCTCCTGAAGAATCTGGTGAGTGAGAAGACCCTGCACCTCACTCAAAGTCCTAGTAGTTACAGTATTTTTCGCACTATTAGGCGCACATAAAAGCCTTTCATTTCAACCATGCGTCTTATATTCCAGTGCAAACTTGTATGTGAAAAGGAAGATCTGATATTAGTCTGATATTGCGCCTTATAGTGTGAAAAATACGGTTGCCGCTTTTTAATAATTTAGTTCAGAGGAGGGTGTCGGCTGATTACCTGGTGTTATTGTTGCGGCAGTAGAATGTTCTTTCCTATGATGATGGCACAGACATATTCCAAGTAATGCCAGGGTACACTGGGTTCAAACTGAAAGAGTGAGTCAGGGACCACGAGACGTCTTTGGATCGGCCTCCACAGAGTCCAGTCTAGTGTAAACCCAGCTGCTCCCATCATGGTCTGGAAGAGAGTTCTGTAAAACTGTGGCTCCAAACATTTTTTTTTTGTCCTGTGTATTCTCTCGCCAGTGTAGACCGGTCACAAATACTAAGGGAAATAAACGTATCCCAAAGGTGGGTTATTTATTTTTATTTTTTTTCTCAAACATGTATACATTTTTTGAAATTTACTTTATTTTTGATTTTTTGACTTTTGAGTGCGATTGGTCAAAATGTCATGATTCAAAAACAAAACAAAGCAAGAATTATAATGCGAAGGAAAATATTACGTACAAAATCATATATCAATAATAACTAAATTAATACATAAAAGATTGTAAAAAATACGTATATACTAATAGAATATATATACATAAGAAAATAGAATTTTAAAAATTAAAAAAAAATTAACATTAGAAAAAAAAAGTTGCATGTTTAATCCTCAATAAATACATTATGTTTATTATATATTAAACAATGTATTTATTGAGGATTAAACATACAACTGTCTAATTTGCTTCATCGCTCTTCAAAATATTTACAAAAAATGATTCAGGTATTATAACAGAACACTTTCCTTCGCTCCAATCTGCAGAGTTCTTCCTTTTGCTTCCCTTTAAGTGGTTTAAGATTCAGGCTTAAGGTTAAGACCGAGATTAGCCGCAGAACGTACGGAGGTCAGAAGGTAACGTTTCTCCAGATTTCTCCAAACAAACCTCTATTTCTGTGCCATGTCTTTCGTCTTTTCAAGGGATTTATAAAAATGTCCCGCAAACTCATCACATTTGACACTTTCGCTGACAACACAGTCACCCCGCTTCTTTTCCCTTCGCAGATTTTGCTCCTTATCTGACCGTGCTGGTTTTCCCCCGTCATTTCTGTTGAATAATGTGTCCTTTTTGTGAGAGATTGTTGTTGAGACTGGGGAGATGAGTCAGCCTGTCTCTGTTTTCTCCCCCTGCATCGCTGACAACTCTATAAAACACTGAAAACCACACGCTCTTTATGAAATCTGTGTCCATTCAGTAACCGCCATTGTAGCCATGCAGAGGCTGAGATTTATTCTTGTATAGCCTTAAATCACAACAGCAGTGATCTCAGAGGACTTAAAACCGGTGAAATCGCCAACACAGATCAGAGAATAAAAGAGTTTAAACACATAGAATAGAGAACACAGACAGTAGATATTGGTCCATGAGAAGTTGACCAATGTCCATAAATGTTGTTGAATTTTGTTGAAACTGTAAAACCCAGTGAGAAAAAAGAAAGTGAGAGAACCAGACCAGAATGAAATGGTCCTTGCTCTTTTAAATGCAGTAAAAGCATATAGTATATAGTGTATTTTTGTGCAAATCTCTTCAAATGCGATTACATAAGTACAATATTGACCAGAAATCACGAGGTCATGTCAAGTATTATTCTAAATTACAATTTGATTTGCCTCAATTTTTATCAATCGTCCTTAGTACATGTTCCCAGATAAAATCACATTTACAAATCCTGTCTGACCTTTTCTGGACAACAGTTTAAAGTGGAGTAATTCTTGGTTTAGATTACTATGGGAATGATGTCCATATTATGTACGTTCACGATTGTCAAGCAGATTATCCAATCAGAGAGCAGAATGAGGCTGTCATTTGGGTTGCCAGCTAAATTATCTTTTTAGAAAAATAATGCTGATATACAATGATAACACATTTGTTTCAATGGAAGCCGATGTAAAAAATAAATAGTCATACATAATGGCAAACCAGCAGGTGGATTGCATCAGTAATGATTGTTTTGACTTAGTTTGACCATTATTAGACCCTGCACAATACTTCCTGTTCGTTTCATTTCTGTTTTTAGATGAATGAGGCCTGCATTTTTAATTGTCCATGTATCTGCCACCTCTTAACTTGCGATGATGATATTAATGTGTTATATTAGTCAATAACTCATTAAAAACAGTCTTAAAAAAAAAAAAATCAAACGTGCAACGGAAATGAAAAAATAATGAAATAAATTCTGTCAAATCGGCATTGGCTTAAAATACGAACAAAAATGATGTTGTTTACGTTTTTGATGGGACAGCAGAGACAAAGGCAGCGACGGTTTCCAAGTAGTGGGTTAGAGAGCGTCGGCAGCCGGCCAGGAGGAGATTGATCCTGACATGAGGCATATGCAAGACAGGCACTTAAGACGAAACCATTAGCACCCATTAAGTGTTGTTTACTTCCCTGGCCACTGCCGTGTGTGTGTGTGTGTGTGTGTGTGTGTGTGCGTACGAGTGTGCATGCATGGGCTTAGTGCTTAGTGTTGTTGTAAAAGTGACCTCACTGATCCTATGGCTAGAGCTGCAGCCGAGTGTAGCTCTGGTAACACTAGACACTGGCTGAAGAGCTAATTGTTCAATGGACTGAGTCTCAGCAGTTTTCCTCCGACATCGGGAGCATAAATAAATGATGTCTCGTTGTGTCTTTGCCTGTCTTTCTTAATCCAGAATATTGGTTCAGAGTTTGTTTTACCCAAAGGAAGTTGGTACAAACACACACTGGATCTGTTGAATCTGTCTCGTCAATACTTCAAACTTTTGTTATTTTATTTCCACATCTCCACTGGTATTCAATACATTTCATTTTGTGTGTATCTTTGTGAAAGTTTATACATGGGGTCCCACATCGCAAAAAAATAAATAGTAGAATGGCAAGAACAGAGGATTTTTAGTTTAAGTTTACCTAGTTAAGTAGTAAAAACATGAAAAATAAAACACACACACACACGAACACGCACACACACACACACACACACACATGTATTCTGACTTGATTGCAATGACGATAATTATTTATTTATATTTTTATGAGAATATTTAATTCTCATATGTATTATCTTATTAGTGTATCGATTTATAAATTAATATTTTAGATCATTTATTTTACTATCCATTGTACAAGGAAAACTTGAACGTTTTCTCTAAAGACAAGCCAACAGATTATCTTCAATGGGCGAAAGGCTGGCTTTGGAATGCTCAACCGTTTGTTATTAAACACGGACAGTGTAATAGATAAGATAAGAGGACCACAGCGGGAGTGCGTAGTTAAAGAACATCCGGAACATATTCAAGCTGCTTTTTCTTTTCCTAAATAAATAAATGCTAAAGTTATAACAATACAGACAAAGTTAAGGCCACAATATTCTGTTTCTTGCATACTTGTGTGAGATTTCATAACACTTTTAAGCAACTTTTGTTAAAGTTAAACTCATCATTCTATCAATGTGCAGAAGCCAGTACTTTTCCCTTGTTGTGTCTATCTCAGGGGTGCCCAAACCTTTTGCTTCCAAGGGCCAAAGTAAAACTTTTCCAGTCGGCCGCGGGCCAAATACACCAATATTTCGCATAAAACAAAAATAAATGTAGATTTGATCAAGTTCAATTAAATGCATTAATTATTGTCTATCAGTGCAAATCACAGCTGAATGAATGAAATCAACACAGTCTTAGTGAAGTGGAGACTCCAGGGAAATATGCAGGTTTGAGGAGACTACAGTACGGAAAGATTCCGGCGGGTAATCAGGGTCCAGAGGAGGGAGATTATCTGTCATGGCTTATTTACAGCTTAAAATCATATAAAAAAAACCTCTAAAAGAGAACAGAAACATACATTTTCTATGTAACTAAACTGTTTTTTAAACGCCACTTGTAAACAAATAATGTTCCTGTTAGTAAATGAAAGTACTAATTTATATTAAATAATATCATACTCCCAAATTAAATAATCTATATTTTTAAGCTGCTCATGTCAGTAAACTGTTTGTTGAAGACCTTTTTCTAAACAGTTTTGCATTACTATATAGTGATTTATAATGTATAGGTTTATTGTACTAGCAAATGACATTTACTTTAAAAAAGTAAAGTCTATTTTCATATATTTATTTTGAACAAAAGTTTTTAACTACATTTGAATCATATTACTTTATCTTAGCTTTTATCAAAAAGGGGAGACATCACTGATCAGTAGATCTGGTTTTAGCACACTTTTAAACAATACATTTTAACATTAAGTAATGAATTTGGGAACATAATTGCTAACTGCATTTTCTAAACATGATCAGGTTTTAACTCTGTTTTAACTTAATATTTTTAACATAGGACAAGTATTCTCAATTAGTTGTGAACTGAATATTAAACTAACTAAATCAGACTAGTTAACCATGATATGTTCCTAGAGTTTGTTTTGTTTTGCCTAAACACAGTACAACATTTATAAACAATCAAAACAAAGTAACTGTTAAAGAGTCCGTGTTTCCGCTCCTCCAAAGGGCTCTTGAACGCATCATAAAACTCCGCGTAAGTTCTGACATTCAATGATCGCGAGTGAGGACGGCGCTTACCGGCTTCTTTCATGGGGTTGTAGAAGGGTTTGTTTTGCACGGTATTTGTTGCTTCTACTTACGTGGATCGTGCGCTGCGATCCCTACTTGTCCTGCTTGAACTCACTCTGAAGTGTGTGTGTCCGTCTTTTTAACACACCGGGTGGGTGCGGATTGCGCAGGTGAATAGTTCCACTCGCCAATTCCCTCCGGTGAGGAGGGGGAGTGGCAGTTCGGCAGCACAATCCTCTCAATTTGATAAAACATTAAATTGCTCAAAAAAATTATAATAGTAGGCTGAAAAAAAAGAACATAAAGGGGCCTTGCACCCAATTGTTTTGAAAGATGTGTTTGATTTTAAAAAACCTTTTAGTGCAAGTAGATGTGAACCATGAGTGAGGAGTGTATCTCGATACAACAGTTAAGTACTGGACAGTTTCCGTTCAGAGGGCGTTGGTGCGCCCGCGTGATCTCAAACATGTCACTGTTTGTTCAGTGAGGTTGAGGGACGCAGTTAGAAGCTTACAGCGGAGGTGGGCAATGTTAGGCGGGCCAACTGAAATGGTCCGCCGGGCCAACTTTGGCCCGCGGGCCCCACTTTGGGCACCCCTGGTCTATCTGAAGGCCAAGCTACATGGCACTGTGGCAGCTGCTGATTGGAGGTCTCCATGCCTCCGATCTGTATAATACACTTGCATTCTGTTGTTCGTGTTGTTCGTGCTGTCTCTACCATCGACAATAAAACATGTCTTCTGTCTGAATTAAAGACGCGATCCCAGACTTTGTCATCTTCTTCACTTGTAAGAAAACTGTTTTGAGAGCCAGGAACTAGTTTGATTGTTGCATTTTACCATATCGCTCATTTTGTGATTTAAAAGTCAGGTACCCCAGCTTTAAGCAAAGAATTACACATGTTCTTAGCGTAGAAATATGCATCCAGAACTTTCCACAGATCTTCCTAGTAACTTGATGATAGTATCACCTGCTTCTCTTTAGTTTTGTTCAAGACTGTCAAACATTCCAGACAAAGCAGTAACACCACGCAGTCTAAGGCCTCACAGAGCCTATAGTCAAACATTTGAATCATAAATAATATACATATTTAGCACAATGAATAATTATATACTTACTGTACCTGTGGTTATTTATTATTTTTGAAAAGGGTATTTATTTTGAAGGGGACAGTGAACAATTAGAACATAAATATTTCCATTTCATACATTGCACCAGAGTTAACCAGAAGGAATAACATGTAGTGGGTTGAAAAATATTTGAAATGCCACATACTTCTGCATACAGGCACATCCACAATCATACACAAAAAACCTGCACTAGCCTAATACAAAACGTATATTTATTTCTTCCTTGGATAAAATATGAGGTAGTAATTGCTCGAATTGAGTTGTTTTAACTTAATTTGACTACATTCTGACAGTTTTAGGACAAGATATGCCAATGGGACAAAGCTATTTTGTCTTAATTCAAGAACTATTGCTATATTTTCTCATTGCAAGGAAGACATTACTTGTATCTTCTTAAAACAAGATCATTTAGCTAGTCCCACTGGCAAATCTGGTTTTAAGGCAGTCAAAATGTGCTTAAATTAAATACTTTTTGGCCAAATTTGAGCAATTTTTGACTTATTTCCCATCACATTTTGCAGTGTGTTTAATGAAATCTGCCACTATGTCCACAAAAACATCCAATCCGTAGAGAGTAGGGACCTAAAACTCGCCCTAATTCTGTCATCTTTTCTTGTGTCTTTCTTTCCAGCTCCAGAGCCTGAGCCACAATGTAATCTTCACCTTGGACTCGCTGCTGAAGGGCGACTTGAAAGGCGTGAAAGGGGTAAAAAAAAAAACACAGCTATTACAGTCTCCTGCTAATGTAATGTAAAGATTAAAGCACTTGGGCCTGAAAAAACGCCCTGTCAGCATTCCCCTTTAACTTACTCCACACAGAGACACCGCTATAAATCTCCAGCAGCGTAAATGTTGTCTCTTGTGTCGTGCTGGAGGAGAATAACTGGGTCGTGGCCTCTCGCCCCTGTCCCCTACAGTAGAATGTAAACGAGAGAAGAGTGAGGCATTCTCTGGTCCGACTCCAACTCTGCAAATAACTCCCCGTCCCCGCACTGACCTCTGGGTAGTCCTTCTGCTGATGTCCGCCCTCTGTCTTTCTCCTCAGGACATAAAGAAGCCCTTTGACAAAGCGTGGAAGGACTACGAAGCCAAGTTGTAAGTCGGCCATTCAACTTTATTCTGTTTAATTGCTCGTTGTTAAGTAGATAATCGCACAGCGCAAAGTACTGTTACTCAATAACTAAATAGAAGTAAATGACTTGATGAATGACTTTGAGTGTGTTTTCAAAGCACTAGTGACATCGGAACACTCACTTAGCCCAGTTTAATTCAGCTGAGGCCTATGTAAACCGTATTGAGTTGTGAAAAACCAGTTTGTTTGTCGAAACTGGATCAAACTATTTCATACAACTGGATCCTTCTGAGACAAGGGCAGCAGGCGCATTTAAGAGCACAAGGAACAGGCTTATGTCAGAAGTGTATGTTTTAGGAAGAATACTGTATACCTGTCTGCGATTCACTCATTTTAATCATTGCGATTAAATAATAATGCATCAGTGTTATAATGTGGTTTTTTTGGACACACTCTTCACATGTCATTATTCATACCCTCTATACACGGTGGGGATAAACTCCAGCTGTACCCACAGCTGACCTGGGGCACACTAATAGAAAAGAGGCAACCAGTATGGCCTATCCGACCCTGAAACAACCATTCACGCACACAACAGACTCATTCTAGGCAATGTGGGTGAAGTGTCTTGCCTAAGGACATAAAAACAGTTGGTCAATTTTCAGCAGCAGCTGCCCCACTGTGGCACCTGGTGTTCCCAGAGGTCTCCCATCACAGTAATAACCAGGCCCTGCCCTGCTTAGCTTCACATGCAGGTGGTGACACACAATCCCGCACTGTGTGCGTTTCATTGTTTTGTTTCTTTATTCTTTTCAGTAAAAGCAGGAAACGTGGTGCGTTTAATTGCGCTGCGGAAATTGAATCATTTGTGCCGCTGCACGGGGCAACAGTAGCTCAGTTGGTAGAGCATTGGCCTTAAGCCCAGAAGGTTGTGGGTTCAATTCCCACCTCTGCACCTTCTCCACCGACTCCCACTGATGACTGCTGTCGTTGTGTCCTTGGGCAAGACACTTAACCCCACTTTGCCCAAAGCCCCCACTGAAAGATCAAGGCTATGCTCACACTCAGAGAGCAGCCGTCCTCCTGTGGACTCACCACCTGCAGAGGGTCAGTGAGGGGCTGGTGCTATGAGACTTGGGTGGCATCTCTGACTGCCACCCCCCTGACCCAGAAATGGATTAAAGGGTAGAAAATGGATGGATGGATGTGCCGCTGCAGTCGAGCCTGTGTGAAAAGCTCAAAATAAACAGACTAGAGTCACAAAAAGCAGACATAGTAGAGTCACTTTCAGAGTAAATTTCAAATATAAGTGAAACAGATAATTATTGAATTATATATCACAATACTTTGCTCTACTCGCAAAATATCATGATACTTATAAGATACTTATAAAAAATTATATTGAAACGATATTTCCAACGTTTTGAGTGCAAAGGCAAAGTTACGGGTTGTCTTTGAAAGCGTCACAAGGTTGGGTTAGCGCTGAATTAACTCAGTCTTTCAGTTCTTTTATTTTTATTAGCGTATTCCGTGTTCTTCTGTTTTGTAACCACACTCTCTGACACGCTGAGGTAGCTTGTATTTTTAAGTTTTTCTCTCCGTTTCCATCTCCTAGTACAAAGATCGAGAAGGAGAAGCGGGAGCACGCCAAACAGCACGGCATGATCCGCACGGAGATCACCGGAGCCGAGATCGCAGAGGAGATGGAGAAGGAGCGCCGCCTCTTCCAGCTCCAAATGTGTGAGGTATGAGATTACAGAACACACACAGGAACAATAACTCTCACCGGGAATAACGACGAGAACCACAAGATTTATTTTACGGCAACAGAAGAAATCTATCATCTATAATTTGTCTCTTTTTAGATTCTAGTAATTTTTCTATTTATCCTATTTATGCCAAGTATATATTTCTCCATTGTGAGATCAAAAAAGTGTATTTAATCTGATCTCATCTAATTTTGCACCATTTCTTCCTGTATTGAGAAGGTGTCATACATTTCTGAGCAACAATAAATGTGATCTTGAAATGATTTTGACCTGAACCCAACAACAGCAGCAACAGTTGGAACTTTGACATTTTCAAGTGAATTTTGAGGCTAATTTCTATTTAATTTATTATGAAAATCTACTTTTCTCTCTTTTAACATTGTTCCTGGAGTCTTTTTTTAGATCCTTCGATGCTAGTATCATGAACTTCTGGCACCAATATGTAACTCAAAAAAGCTCCCGTCTCAGTTCTGTAGTGCCGTGTTCAGACCGATCGCGATGGAGGAGTCAGGGGCGAGTGATTTACATGTTATGTCTATGGCCGGGTGCGCTCAGGAGCGAATGACAGGCCGGCGGTGCGAATGACGAGAGTAGAGCGAGGCGAACAGGGCGTTTTGAACGAAAAGAGCGGAACGAAAGTGGCGAAAGGGGCGTTTGACGCGCGCCTAGAGCCATTTCGCCTCCACCGCCCTACTCGCTCGAGTTGAAAAATCTGAACTTTTTGGTCAATTCGCGGGGCGTTGACCAATCAGGGACTGAATCGAGCAGTGACGTAGCATTGAACCGCGGCGGAGACGAAGCATCTTTTCATTCAACATGGAGGACTCACTGATCGTAGCTGTGTGCCAGCGGCCCGAGTTGTATGACACCAGCAACTATCACTACAGAGACAGGGATAGAAAGGAGCTAGCGTGGAGAAGGGTCAGCGAGGAGACGGGGGTGCCAGGTAATTTTTTTATTTTTATATATATAATTTTCACTCTACTAGCGTAGCGCTAGTATCCCGCGCAAAATGTGTCGCTATTTACGAGTGTCTTATTTCGTTTCGTATTCTCTAAATTAAGTTACTTTTGGACATGCAAATGTTTTATATTGTATTATGTGCAGTATTGAAATGAGCATGTCACGTTTTAATGCAAATTTAATTTGTACTCGTTTAATTGGGGAGAAGCATCACAGTCAAAAGTGGAAGATAAATCACAAACATAAGCCAATTTATATTTATATCCTATACATTTTCAGAGAGTGCGTGCAAGAAAAAATGGAAAGGTCTGCGGGACACATATCTGAAGGAGAGGAGGAAGGAGTTGGACAGGAGGAGTGGGTCAGCAGCAGGGGCGGTGCGGAGGTGGAGGTTCTCTGCTGTCCTTGCTTTCCTGGACCCATATGTCACCCCTCGTGCCACCACCAGCAACATGGGCCAGGTGGAGGAGGCAGCAGAGGACCTCCCAGAAGAGCCCACCCAGGACCAGGAGGCATCAGAGACTGAAGGTATGCAGCAAAATCTTTCATGAGAAATGTACACCGTAAAGTATGACTAATTTCATATTTGACTGTCATGACAGAGCAATACGATGATGGGAGCAGGCCAGGATCCCCACTGGAGGAAGATCCTGTCCCTGTCCCATCCAGGTCTCCAGTCCCTGGTCCTTCAACCCCTGCTGCTGCTGCACCAACACCCCACTCCCATAGGTGTGTACAGGTTACAGTACCAAAAAAAAAAACACACATGCAATAGGCTATACATTAACACACCAACACATGATATTGTAATATACTGTATATATATATATATATATGTGTGTGAGTATTTTGACATTGAAGTCTTGTTCCAATTTAATTAGTTACTGTTTTGTTTTTTTCAGGAAAAAGGAGGCGGCCACAACCCCGGGCAGAGCCAACGGCGGTGGAGCAGGCCATTTTATTCGCCCTGAAAGAGCGCCCTGTCCCTCCACCAACGGCCACCCGGGAGTTTAGCCACATAGAGTATTACCTCCTAAGTCTTGCTCCTTCCCTGGAGAGACTGTCCTTCTATGACCTAGAGGTCATAAAAACAAAAATAAATTAAAGCCGCAAGCGGCGATGAAAGGCCTCGCCCCTCTTGCGACCGCCTCCTGGGCGCCAGTCCCACAAGCGTCACGGCGACGAATTGGCAGCCCGATCTGACCAGGATTACGTATATAAAAGCTCATTTATATGATAAAGTGCGTCCCTAGTGGTCACCTCCGGGACATGCACCCTCTACGTAGAGTAGTATTTTGCTCGTGCAGATGTAAAGATTTGATTTTGCAACTTTGGTGAAGATCGGAAAAGTTTAGGTCAGAAGCCTTCCATAGGTGGCGCTGTAGAGTCATATTAGGTGTGTGTTTTCACACCATTACTCTCAGGTCATTACCAACTGTTAGTGATGTGAGTTTTAGCTCTGTAGGTCTGAGCCTGTGGTCAGGAGAGCATCAAACATGGAGAAATTCCCCACTACCTCGCATGAAAACGATAACAAAATTCTCACTTTTATGCGATGATTGCATAACTTCAATCCGTCCAGATGGAGAAATGACATGGTAGAAGTTTGTGCGATGAAAATCCAGGGACTAGTACGAAGCCAAAAATGCGACACCTTGAACTGCCTGTAGGTGGCGCTGTTGCACTCACAGTTGTGTGTTGTATATCGTTGTGTTCAGGGTCATACGCTGTATTACTGAATTCATTTTTAGCCTCATCGGACAAACATTTTGCCCCAAAAAGCTCCTTCATTCATTTTTCCGGCGCCCCCGGTGGTCAGGTGTAGGACTTACAACTTTTGCGTAATGTAATGTTTTGCTCGTCTCGGTCCAGAGAATACACTCAGCGATTTTCGGGCCGATCCGAGCACTAGTGCCCTATTACTTTCCGACAGGTGGCGCTAAAGAGCTCAAATTGGGCGAATGATTTTAGTGTCATTGCGTTCAGGCCATAACCTAATATTACTGATGTGAGTCTCAGCTCTGTAGGTCTGAGCCTGTGGCCCTCAGGGCTCAGCGAAAATGGCCAAAACGAAGGCCTTATTCGCCATGGCGAGGGACGAAAACGGTGAAGATTTTCTAACTTTTTTTCGATGATTATATAACTTCAATCCGCCCAGAGCGGGAAATGACGTGGTAGAACTCTGTGTGATGAAAAACCAGGGACTAGTTCGAATTTATAAATGAAAAGTCAAATTAGTGGCGAAACTTTGGCCCATCATGGCCGACTTCCTGTTGGTCCCAGACATGTGCTTAGACCGGCTTTTATGCTCGTCTCATAGAGATCTATCACTCATCCGAATTTTGTGCACCTACTCCAAAATATGCAATCCTGCCTCCAATAGAAATGGCAAATTTTGAATTTTCAAGGGGGCGCTATTGATTCGCCTTTTGTCGGACAATCTCGAAACGTCCGTTTTATCAATGTTTTTGCCGGACCGGTTGTTTTAGACCCCCCATGTGCAGACTTTCGTGCATGTCTTCAGGGTCAAAAATCTAATTGTTTCGGCGGAAAAAGAATAATATGAAACCACCGAATAACAATTTTCATTAAAGCCGCAAGCGGCGATGAAAGGCCTCGCCCCTCTTGCGACCGCCTCCCGGGCGCCAGTCCCACAAGCGTCACGCCGACGAATTGGCAGCCCGATCTGACCAGGATTACGAATATAAAAGCTCATTAATATGATAAAGTGCGCCCCTAGTGGTCACCTTCGGGACATGCACCCTCTACGTAGAGTAATATTTTGCTCGTACAGATGTAAAGATTTGATTTTGCAACTTTGGTGAAGATCGGAAAAGTTTAGGTCAGAAGCCTTACATAGGTGGCGCTGTAGAGTCATATTAGGTGTGTGTTTTCACACCATTAAACTCAGGCCATTACCAACTGTTAGCGACGTGAGTTTCAGCTCTGTAGGTCTGAGCCTGTGGTCAGGAGAGCATCAAACATGGAGAAATTCCCCGCTACCTCGCATGAAAACGATAACAAAATTCTAACTTTTATGCGATGATTGCATAACTTCAATCCGTCCAGATGGAGAAATGACATGGTAGAAGTCTGTGCGATGAAAATCCAGGGACTAGTACGAAGCCAAAAATGAGACACATTGCACTGCCTGTAGGTGGCGCTGTTGCACTCACAGTTGTGTGTTGCATATCGTTGTGTTCAGGGTCATACGCTGTATTTCTGAATTCATTTTTAGCCTCATCGGACAAAGATTTTGCCCCAAAAAGCTCATTTATTCACTTTACGGCGCCCCCAGTGGTCAGGTGTGGGACGTACAACTTTTGCGTAATGTAATGTTTTGCTCGTCTCGGTCCAGAGAATACACTCAGCGATTTTCGGGCCGATCCGAGCACTAGTGCCCTATTACTTTCCGACAGGTGGCGCTAAAGAGCTCGAATTGGGCGAATGATTTTAGTGTCATTGCGTTCAGGCCATAACCTAATATTACTGATGTGAGTCTCAGCTCTGTAGGTCTGAGCCTGTGGCCCTCAGGGCTCAGCGAAAATGGCCAAAACGAAGGCCTTATTCGCCATGGCGAGGGACGAAAACGGTGAAGATTTTCTAACTTTTTTTCGATGATTATATAACTTCAATCCGTCCAGATTGGGAAATTACGTGGTAGAACTGTGTGTGATGAAAAACCAGGGACTAGTTCGAATTTCTAAATGAAAAGTCAAATTAGTGGCGAAACTTTGGCCCATCATGGCCGACTTCCTGTTGGTCCCAGACATGTGCTTAGAACGGCTTTTATGCTCGTCTCATAGAGATCTATCACTCATCCGAATTTCGTATACCTACTCAAAAATTTGAAAAAAAATCCCCAGAGGGTCAAAAAAAATGAAATTTCTAGGGGGCGTTATAGAGTCGGCGAGCGTCGGACAATCTGGAAACGTTCATTTTATCAAATTTTTCGCCGAACCGGTCGTTTTAGACCCCCCATGTGCAGACTTTCGTGCATGTCTTCAGGGTCA